TACATAAGAACTAGCTATGAAGAGAAAATAAAGTATCAAATGTAATCCATTTGGCAAATTGCATTCCCAGCCAATGAAAAGAGGTCTGTAAATTACAGTGAGGAAGAATGAATCTCCCCAAATTGATATAAAAGTCATATAACTTTAGCACAGGATTTGATACACTGCAAACTGCACAATGCACATTTCTCCTGCACACTCCAGGAGTCCTGGCAATTGCAGCAGGGCTTAGCCAATTAACAGTGGCCATTAGGGGCTTTGCTTGATGACTCTCATTTATGCAAATTAATAAAAGTGCTTTACTCCAACTTTTTTAAAGTCCTAGGGCTCATTCCCTCTTTGGGTGACACACGCTGTCAAGTCACTACATGAGGACAATCACCCACAGGTCACCTCGCATCACCTCCCAGTGGGTGGTCTGCTGGCATCTTTAACTAATATGCTTTCAGCCTGGCTCTTGAGCACTCCAGATCCTAAACTCACAGCTCTCCTGCATTAGGTAATCAGGCCAATGCAGACAAGTTAGACTACCATAAGAACCACACTTGGCTTTTCAAAGGGAGGTAGCTTGCATTGTACAGATGATTATTAAAAAGGTCAACAGAGGTATGTATTGCAACAGGTTCTGTTTCAGAAAATAAGACTGGAAACAGAGACAGTCCACCATTCTGTGTTTCAGATTGAACAAAAGAGTTCTCATCTGTCTTCTCACTGTATACTGAAGGCTGACAAGAAGCTGCAATCATGCAAGGCACTGGCCAAGCTGATGTAAGGTAGCATCCCTAGACACAAAGAGCTCACAGTCTACACTGGTGATAATAGCAGCTATGTGGTAATGACTAGAAAAAAGAGATCTAAGTAGGGTACAAGAGAGCACACAGAACAGAAACCCACTCAGTCAATTAACTTTCCCACCCCAAAGATGGGCAGGTCATTCTTTTACAGAGGGTGAATAAAAGGATACCTACTGCTGAAAATAGGAATGTATGTGACAGGGCGAGGAACATAGGATGTGGATGGCCGTCATCAAAAAAGAAGTCAAGTGCCATCTTGAGTCTGGAGTCAGATCACGGGTTAAGAAAGAATACTAATATCTAACATGTTTGAAGCTGTGATCATGCATCAGTGTTCAATGAGCTGTTTCAAAGGTCTTGTTCCACTTCAGGATATTCTTTCTGCTTACTATAATGACCTGACAATTTGTGGTTAAGTCTACTACTACCTCAAGCACCATTCACAAAAGGCATCTTTTAAGCATTGCCTGGCCTTTCGTGGACTCACAGCTGCTTGAAAGCTCTGTTACTCCTCCCTTCTGTGTAGACTGGCACAGCTTGATGAGCTTGGCATCATCCACAAGAAGACTATGGGACAATTCCACTTTGGCTAAGTCTTAGGCCAGTAACGGTGATCAAGAGAACTGGTTGCTGGCTCATTGGGCTGCCATTTCTACTGCCTGACATGTTACTGGACACAAACTAAGCTATTGTTTCAGATCCTGTGGAAGTAGCTCAGAGGATCCCATGCCCACACAGATGAAGACTTCGCTAACCAAGAACTAAAGATGGTTCCATCATTCTGCAGCTCTTCAGAAGTATGGTCAGCAGTTCCCAGAATCAAGTTGGGTGTTCCATGAAGAAAAACGTGATATATTTACATGTTGTTCAAAAGCTTATGCCTGCCTAGATTAGAACAAGGAACTGCTACAGTATGTTCAAAATAACGCTATCCCTGGGCTTTGATCCTAGCGACAAAAAGAACAGCTTGGAGGCTGATGGGGTTTGAGGAATTTGCTGCTCTATTCCCAGTGAAGCTCTGCAGAACACTTTCACATCAGAAAGGTTCTGAGAACCTAAAATAAAGAACCTGCCTTTTGATGCCTATATTTGTGCTCAAATTTCTCAGTATACCTCATATTTATTTAACCAAGGGATGCTGTTTTTAGTGAAACCACCTAGTATCTCTATAACATTGGAGAACAGGGAGAGTTCTATTAGAAGGATTTTGAGGGACATTACATGTTTGAAATCACTACATCCTCCTCTTTCTTCTCCCACCCCACTGCAGATATTCCGGTTAGTTTTTATTGTCAATTTGACACAACCAAGAGTTACCTGGGAGGAAGGACCCTCAACTGAAAAAATTTCTCAAATCAGATTGGTCTGTGGCCATGTCAGTGAAAGATTGTCTTAATTGATGATTAATGTGGGAGGGCCCAGCCCACTATGGGTGGCACCACTCCTAGGCAGGCAGCCCCAGGCCATAGAAGAAAGCCAGTTAAGCATGAGCCAGTAAGCAGTGCTCCTCCATGCTCTCTACTCTAGGTTCTGCCCTGCCTTCCCTCAATGATGGATTGATAAAATAAACTCTTTCCTCTCTAAGTTACTTTTGGTCAGTGTTTTAGACAGAAACAGAAATCAAACTGGGAGAATTTATCTGGCACAACAGTGTGTGGCACCATTAATTAATGTCCTTGTAGAGATGGGAATATTTGACACTTGAAGAAATGTCAAATCCAGTTAAGTTTACTAGACCAAGAAAACTGCTGTGTGTGATCTAAGGAGCCAAGAAGCAGCAGCACTGACTCAGTGCATAATCCCCGAAAGGTGGAGGGTATTCTATGTTTTAAATCCTTCCTTCTTCAGTTTGTTGTTCTCATTTTACAGAAGAAGAAACCAGACACAGAATGGTTGGTTGACTTGCCCAAAGTCAAACACCTGGTAAATGAACACTAGAGCTGTTCACTAAACCACCAGCACTCTGGAGGTCTTAAAAAGGAAGGGGACTGTCAACAGCTCCAGTGCACCTCCTGGCCCCTCTGCTAGCAGACAAGAGCACAAACCCAGAGCATGGTTGAGGTTCCAACCTCAGCTCAGACACACAGTGGCAGTGGGATTGTGAGAAAGCTGCTCACTTGCTCTGTGCCAGTTTCCTTATCTGAAAAATGAGGGAAATATAAAGCAAGCTTGCAGGGTGGTTGTAAGCAGTAAATGAATTACTTAAATAAAACATTTAAAACAGTGTCTGGTTTAATGCAAAACTAGACACACGTTTGCTGCTGTTTTTAATGTTACTATCGTTATTACCTTGACCGTCTCCATCCAGCGAGGTTGTTTGACTTGATAATACACAACAGAGCGATACTCGTTCATGGGCTTGTCCCCAGCTCCCACACAAACCGCATTCTGACCAAGAGAAATGAAGAGAGAGAAAACACTACAGCACTGCCGTTTTCTGTGCTTGGACAGTTTGGGCCCCAACGCTAAATAAAGCCAATCTGATGGTCAGAGGGCAGTCTTGCCTTCCCTAATTCTTCTATCAGGTTCTATCCTGATGGCCCTTCTACACTGCAGATTAGACATGTGTATCCTCAGCCCAGAAGTGACAGCTTCTTAACTATAGAAATTCTATTACTTCCATTCTGGAAAGCGCTGGAGCGCGCCAGGCGCTGACGTGGCTGCCTGATTGTAAATGGTAACCAGCCTTGGAGTTACTGCAGGCCGCCAGTCTTATTAATCCTATTTGTCTCCTGAATGTGAATGTGCACAGTTTGCAAGCAGCAACACCTTTGGTGGATCTCTGATGCTAAGGCACCACAGTGGGTAGGCACTTGCTGGGCAGTGGGAGACAGTACCATCTTCAGAGAAATATCTGAGTGCCTGCTGTAGAGAACAAGCCTAAGGTGAGAGACTGTGGGAGAATGATGCAGCTCAACACAGATGAAACACCCTCTGGTGCCATGCCCAGGCTAAGCTCTGGAGGAATGGGCATGACTCAGGTCCTGAGACTGACCTGAGCATAGTGGGGAAGATGCTGGGAAGCGTTCACCAGTCATTATGACCGTGTGATACAACAGCAGACAGACAGAATACTGTGTAAGACGGAGGGACGCTTAAGTTCAGCTGAGGATTTGGGGAAAGATGCCTTAGAGGCAACAGTTAAGTATCCTGAAGAAGATTCTAAGTTGGCTTTGAGTAGAAACATGGGAAGAACTTTCTAAGCAGAGAGAACACAGAACATTCGTATCTGCAAGGAGGCTACCTGATCTTTGCCATAAAAATCTTCCTCAACTTTTCGGAAAGGAGCTAAGTAACCAGCTCCTAATTCTCATTCCCTCCTTTTCTCCCTTCCCCTCCTCTCTATTCATTAAATTGGTTTGGGCCTTAACACAAGATCCAAATCAGGATCACTCAGAAGGGCCCCAATGATATGTTTTTTTACAGCAGACTTTTCCACTTTTAAACTCAAATCTCTAGATTTTTGGAATATGACAATTAGGTTTTTTTGGGGGGAGGCAAGTTCTGAAATTGCAAGCTGGGTGCCTGTGGGCAATTGGTGAGTGAGGGCAGGCCTCCCACCGGATTCCACTGGATGCTCCAATGGACCCTTGACAAGGCTGAGTCACCAGAGCCAGCCACAGGGTGAGACTCTGTGACCCCTGGCAAACAAAGCTGCACTGTGGGAAGGAGGACCTTCCATGGTCATTGTCCCTCTCTGTTTCCCAAGGCAAGGGCAAGGAATGGACTCAGCTTCAGTGTTGAATGATGCCACCTGCTGGCAAAATCTACCTCAAAACAAGACAACAAAAGCCATCAGAACATCCCTCCTATAAAACGAAGATGGTCACTGGTTGGAAACGAAGGCACGAAGCTTTGTTTAGTAGCAGGTGCAGCCTTTCAGAACTTCGGGAAGCAATGAACTAGAACATACTCCCTAAAGGTTTTCACCCTTTAGGAAGGGCTGTGTGTCCATCATCACACAGGAGGAGAGGAGCTAGTCCTCTCCTCACTCCACCCCACTCGATTCAAACCCATTAACCACCTCTGATAACCTGTCATTCCTTTCCATTCTGGGTAAACTGAGGCTCTGAGTGGCAGAGCTGAAACAACATTCCAGACCCTCTAGTTTTATCCAGAGCCCCTTCTTTAACAACGGGCATGCCATCAGCCTACAAAGATTCATACTGGTGATATTTATGGGTTCACAGTTTCCGCAGCTTCAGTGACTCCCATGAAGCTTATAAAATCTGGAATCACACATATTTCTCTGGTGAAAGTAAAACTGGATAGCACAAAACTAGAGGATGAAAATTTTTTTTTCCTAAGGCTGTAGGAAAAAAAGTCATAGTACCATAACGAGAAAGGTGAAGGCTGTTCTCACCTTCTATACTTCAGAGACCAAAGTGAATGTGACGAAGTATGTCAAGAGAGCATTCTAGAAGGGACTCAGGCAGCCCTCCCCTGGCTGAGGAGCTATTACCAACTGGCAGCCGCTGGAGAATGGAGCATCAGTTTTCTTCAGGGATGGAATCCCAGGTAGTTTGTCCGCGCTGAGGTGGATGGCCCTGCACCCACACACACACTGGTAACACCAACTGGACTCAGTGGTTTTTATTTAAAGCAGAGGACATGAATTTGGGAGAAAGATGTGGTGACAGGGATCTGGGCGAAGTTGAAGGGAGGGACTGTGGGTAGATGTAATCAAAACACAGTGTATACATATATGAAATTTTCAAAGAATAAATTAATTTAAAACAAAAAGAGAGAGGGGCTGGAGAGATGGCTCAGTGGTTAAGAGCACTGACTTCTTTTGCAGAGGACCCAGGTTCAATTCCCAGCACCCACATGGCAGCTATGAACTGTCCCCACATGACACATGGCAGCTGTCCTGAACTCCAGTTCCAGGGGAATCTGAAGCCTTCTTCTGACCTCCACAGCATTGCATGACATGGGTGCACTCACATACATGTAGGCAATACACTCATACACATAAAATAAAAATAACAAATAAAATATTTTTTAATTAAAAAAGAGAGAGATCACATTGACCTGCCAGTAGTGTCTAAGCCTGGTTTTACGGAAAATATAGATCTGTACATATCTCAGTAAAGTTTTATTTTCTACGTTGCCCATCTCCATGACCTCCAACTGCTGTTGAGAGCCTTCAGCTACCATCAGCAACTTCAAAACTCTGAGCAAGAATCACGAAGCCTGGAGGCTTGAATGTAGACTTGACCTTGAAAGACACATCTGGGAGGAGAACACAGTGTTCTGACAAGCCCAGTTTACTCCTCTGGAATCGTGTGAGTATGGTATGGACCATACCAACCACAGATGTGAATGACTTTAAGAAAGAATATGTTCTACACTGAGGAGGCTGCATCATGGGAAGATGCCAATTAGCACCCGCAGGTGGGAATCAGGGCTAGAACTCATTATGCTTTTCTAATAATAATGACCAAATGTAATGGATACCTATTATGTGGATTACCTCATCGGATATTCACAGGACTAAGGTGCCATCACTGGTCCCATTTGGGGACGACTCTCGGGTGTAGAAAGGGCACAGCTCAGGGTCCTTTTGTTAATGCAGGCCTTCCTGGGCTTTGAGCTTGGCTGCTCAGAAATCATGAAATTTTCAGGCAAATGGATGGAACTAGAAACTGTTACACTAAGTGAAGTAACACAGACTCAGAAAAAAAAATCAACGTATGTTCTCCTTCATATGTGGATCCTAGAACCAAACCCTCATAAGTGAGCATGTATCTAGACAAAACTACAGGAAACAGTATAATGCCAAGGAAAC